GAGGCTGTGAGGGAGGATGTTCCAGGCCTCTCTCCTAACTCCTGGGATTCCCTGGAAGCCTTTGGTGCCTTCGGTTTGAAGAAACATCCTCCATCTCTGCTGCCATCCTCAGGGTGCTCTGGGTGTGCGGGTCTGTCGCTGGCCAAGCCTCCTCTTTTAGAGGGTGCCAGTCGTCATGCATTAGGGCCTAGCCCAGTGGTGCCATTTTACCCTGATTGCCTAAAAATAAAGACCCTATTTTCAAATAAGGCTGCATTCTTAGGTCCTGGGGGAATCCCAATATTTCCTTTTCCGTTCAACCCACTAAAGTCCCCAAGTGCAGGGACTCTTGTCTCTGCCTTCTCTGTGCCCCAGTGCCAGGGCCTGGCCCATGGAGGCTCTTGTGACCATAGGCAGCTCACACAAATGCAGGAAGGAAAACTTTGGGACTGTGTGTGTACATATTTGTCATATACATAATATACATGTATATGCCCTGCATATATGCAGTTGTTATTGTTGATAAATTTACATGTGCATTTGTCTCAGGACAGCGGTGTGACCTGAGCCTAGGAGGGTGGGCAGCAAGGGACACAGTGCTGGAGAAGTCAAGAGACCTGACACCAAACTAACAGCACAAAGCCTGGAAGCCTGAACGGCACACACTGCTTCATATGCCAAGTGCGGCCTGAAACAATGCAGTCCTGGTCTTGCTTCTCAGGAGTCTGTTATTGGGTGCAGCAACAGAGTAAATAAGCAAGAACGCACAGCAGTTAAAGATAAAAGAAAGGGGAGCTCAAGGCCTCCAGGAAGCAGTTGGGTGAACAGAACACAGGTAATGAAACAGCTGAAACAGCCAGATAATATATATAGGGAGAAGAGAAGGGGCGGAAAGTTTTGTGTTTTTGAGCTATCTTAACTTCCCTAATTTAAACTACTGATCAAGAATCTAAAGTTCTTAGTCCACCTGCACAGCTGAATCTCCACCCAGGGATAGCCATGTAGGCATTACCCTGACTGGGCAGGAATTCAGGAGTCCATGAGGAATTCAGCCTGCCTGCCTCCCACACAGTGGGGAGAGGAATGGAGTGCAGGACTCTGGAGCTAGCCCATCCAGATTGGAATCCTGTCTCTGCCCCTGGGTCATCTTAGCCAGGTGCTAAACCTCTCTGAGCCTCAAATTCTAGAGGTGATAGTGGGTGGTAATACCTATGGAAAGATTATCAGCCCTAAATCACTAATATATGTAAAGCAGCCCAGCGCCCCATGAGTGCAGGCACAGTGCTCACTGCACAGCGTCCAGCAGCAGGGGATTGCATAAGGAGAGCCATGCAGGGGGACAGAACAGAGCAGAGTCCAGAGAACAAAAGCTGCCCAAGTAACTCAGTGGAGAAAAGTGAATCTTTTTTTTTTTTTTTTTTTTTGAGACAGAGCCTCAAGCTGTCCCCCTGGGCAGAGTGCCGTGGCATTACAGCTCACAGCAACCTCCAACTCCTGGGCTCAAGCGAGTCTCCTGCCTCCGCCTCCCAAGTAGCTGGGACCACAGGCGCCCGCCACAACGCCCGGCTATTTTTTGGTTGCAGCCGTCATTGTTGTTTGGCAGGCCCTGGCTGGGGATTCGAACCCGCCACCTTAGGTGTACGTGGCTGGCGCCTTAGCTGGTTGAGCTATAGGCGCCGAGCCAAGAAAAGTGAATCTTTTCAAAAATGGTGCCATTAAAAGGACCTATCCATGTGGAAACAGTGAATGGCAACCCTGCCATACCACACAAAAAATTAACTCAAAATGGACCTGTCTCTAAATGTGAAAACTAAAACTATGAGGCTTCCAGAAGAGAACACCAGAGAAAGTTTTACAAGCTGGGATACAAAACCATAAGTCATTTTTAAATGATGCATAAGATTTCATCAAAACTTGAAAATGTGACTATTTAAAAGACATTGTTGGCTTGGCACCTATGACTCAAGCGGCTAAGGTGCCAGCCACATACACCTGAGCTGGCGGGTTTGAATCCAGCCTGGGCCCACCAAACAACAATGATGGCCACAGCCAAAAAATAGCTGGGTGTTGTGGTGGGCGCCTGTGGTCCCAGCTACTTGGGAGGTGGACTTAGGAGAATCACTTGAGCCCAGGAGTTGGAGGTTGCTGTGAGCTGTTATGCCACAGCACTCTACCCAGGGCTACAGCTTGAGGCTCTGTCTCAAAAAAGAATAAAAGACATTGTTAAGGCAGTGAAAAAGTAAGCCACAGCCTGGGGGACTTAATTATAAAATACACATCTGACGGAAGAATTGAATCCAGAATACAAAAAAGACTCTTAGAATTTAAGAATACCAACCATCAAACTGAAAAGTGAGCAAAATATTTGAGCAGATGCCTTGCCAAAGAAGATACCCCAAAGATCAAAAAAGACATGAAAAGGTGATCAGCATCATTAATGTTCAGGGAAATGGAAATTAAAACCCACAAAGAGATACCTTTATTCACAGTAAAGATGAAAAAAGTAAGTGGACGATAATACCAAGCGTTGCCAAGGATGTGGAGCAGCTGGAACTCTCACGTGCCACTGGCAGGAAATCCAGACAGCACAGGGCCCTGGAGAGCATGTCAGCGGGGTCTCCGGAGGTTTTTACCCACACACTCAGCCGTTCGTATTGACCTGTCCAAGCACTGCTCTCCACACGGATTCAGAAACCAGTGTTCCTAACAGCTTTACTTATCAGACCCCAAACTGGAGACAACCCACATTCAGCAGCAGGTGAACGGAGGAGCAAACTGGTCTGGCCACACAGTGGGATTCTGCTGGGCCGTAAGGGGGAACAGTTGACACACACAGCAGTGGGGATGGATCCCAAGACACCGTCGTGAGCAGCGTGAAGCCCCACATGACACATCCAACCCTGGTGCTGGGACACAGATCAGTGGTTGTCTGGGGCTGGGGGAAGGGCCACGGGGGATTTTTTTGGAGTGAGGGAAATGTTCAATATCTTAATTGTAGTGGTAGCTATAGGGCATATAAAGTTGTCTAAATATATCAAACAGTACAATTAAAATGGGTATGTTTTATTGAAAGAAAACTATACTTTAATAATGCTGATTTTAAAAATCTTATCTGAATTTCTGCTGGGTAAATCCTTAGGAGTGGAATGTCTGGGTTGTGTGAGGTCCCAGCACTGTGGGAGGGTGGTGGCTGCTTGGCGGCGAGTGACCCTGGGGCTCTGGAGTCCTCGTGAGGGGGGATCTTAGGAGCATCTGGACTGTGACAGTCAGCCCCCAGCCGGCATCATAGTCTTTGGTCTGCCGTTCCTCCTGAGTTAATGTTTTCACTAATGATTTCAGTGCTGAGTGGGAACACCACAGTTCACACTAACCCCCTCTGACAGGCTGTACTTCATGACACTTAGAGGAAGAGGGATTGAGCCCTGCCACAGACCAAGTCTTCCCCTGGGGTAAGGAGACTGTTTTCAAAGCTATTTCCTTGTTGTCTTCCTGGACCACCTTTCGAGATCATTTCCAAGTCAGGGAGAATGTTTCCAGCTTCGTATTGGCTCAGGTTTATCTCGAGAACTTAGAGAAACAAAACAAAGCCAGTTCTTCCCCCTGCCCCATCAAAACTCTTGAATGTTGGCATCGCAGTGTTTGTGTTGAAATTACAGGTGGTACACCTGAAGAAACTTACCAAAAACACCGCAGAACACTGGAGTCAGCAGTCGATGTGCTGCCGGTGACCTGGCTCCTTTGCAGAGAGAGCCTGCAGTACTGGGGCCGAATTGCAGCTGTTCACCCCTGCAGTCTGGCTTTTGAGCCACCACCTGAAGCTGGCAAGAGGAAGTCCCCGTGGCCCTTGGCAGCGTCACTGCTTCCCTTGTCTAAGTCAGATGGCCCTTTTGATAAGGTCTTTCCAGCCTCCGTGCCTTTGCCTCCACTGATCTCTCTGCCTGAGAAGCTCCCCACATCTCTGGCTGTTCTCACCCCTTTTGGGTAGATTTGCCTGACTGGCCAATTGAGAAAAACCATGGATTTTGATTCAGACACTCTTGGTTCAATTCCTGGCCCTTACCGACTGTGTAATACCTGCTGAGTTAATTCACCTCTCTGGTTCTCACTGGTGTCTTTGTGAAATGGTAGAATGGCAGCTGACCTGATCACAGTACCTGATGTGTGTCTTGTGAGCAGTCTCCAGGTTATCCTGTCCACCCCTCCAGACATCCTTGCCAGAGGGCATTCTGCTTCTCCTGTCACAGACAAAGACCAAAAGCTTTGGGAGGTGAAGTTATTTGCCAGAGTTTGCACATCTGGAAAGTGGTAGCACTGGGATATAAACCCATGTCTGCCCATCTCTGACCCTCAGCTACAATCACTACCATTTCAGATCACTGGCATTTAAAGGAGCTCAACGAAGAGCTGTCCCCTACCCAGGTGTGAGGTGGACATAGGGGCCAGCAGAGACAAGTCGGTGGCAGCCTCAGGCTGAGGGAAGCTGGATCGATGGATGCGGGTTCAGGGGCTGGATCAAGTGGCTCCAAGTGTCATAGCCCAGAATGAAACGGAGTCCAGACAGAGACAGGGTAGGAAACTACAGCCTTCTGCAACCAGTCCTGCCCCTGCAGTCAGCCATAGGTATCTGCCCCATGGCATCACCTAGAGGCGCAGAGGAAGAATCGACGTCTGAGGCAGGCTGGCCTGGAAACAGTGGGGAGGACTGTGCTGACCACATTCATCCTTCTCCTTCCATACTCCCTGGCAGGGGTATCCACCCTAACAAGGAAGGTGGCAGGGAAGAGGGTGCAGCGACACAGTCGGTTCCCAAGGTCATTACTTTCTCCCCTCCCTTTCTCCTTTCTCTTAAAGAGCATCACTCCATGCACTGTGGCCTTGGAGACAGTGACCTGGCTGACAGTGACCTTGGAGCCAGCCTTGAACTCCAGCCCTGCTGCTGGTTTCCAGGGCCAAGTTCCCCAGCAGGACATATTCTGCAAAACATAGAATAACACCTCTCTGTGTCTCTTACTCTGGCCTAGGGCTTGGTCATTGAGCATCTGGGACGAAGACCCCTCCTCATTGGTGGCTTTGGGCTGATGGCCCTCTTCTTTGGGACCCTCACCATCACACTGATACTGCAGGTGAGAGGATGTGCCTGTCACACCTTGAGAGAGGTCAGCACAGAGCTGGCTTCATCACTTTGGGGCCTTTGGTTTATGGATTCATACAGTCCACAGACAGCTCTGGGTACAGTTCCCCCAAGAGCACCTCTGCTCTGGAGCTGATGGGAGCCTTTGGGGAAGTGAGTTTGGAGATGGGTCTGTGAACTAGGGGACCAGAGACCTGACTCCTGGCCCTGTCACTGCCACTGGTGAGCTGTGTGATCTTGGTCGAGATGCATCCCCTCTCTGAGCCTCGGTTTGCACATCTATGGATAGAGGCTCTTACACGAGAGGACCCCAAGATTCCCTCCTAGCTCAGGGGCCAGCACTGCACACCAGTGGGGCCCGAGAACCAGACCACTTGTTTACATTCTGGCTTTTCCTTACTTGCCATGAAACTTGGCAAGTCACCCTCTCAGCTTCCCTCAGGGTCCCAGCTCTAAAATGACACAGCCCTCCCTACATCCAGTGGTGCTCTGAAGGTTAAACAAGAAAAGCACTGGCAACCCTCGGCACAGCTCTCAGCAAAGGTGCGATCACAGGAGGGGAGGCAGTACATTCCATCCTCATAACACTGTTGTCTTTTTCCCTTTATGGAGATGAGGAAACTGAGGCACAAGCATACCATGACAATTACCTTTGTGAATTTGCCACCACGCTCTTACATTGGCAGCACTGTGCAAACAGATCTGTAAGGCTTCATAACCTTGGTATTCAGAGTCTCCCAGCTGTGTTGACATGTGACAGTGTCTGGCTGAGTGGTGTCCATTACTGTTGCGTTTCAACAGAGAAACAGCAAATCTTAACTAATAATCTTGGCATGTGTGCAAAAAGGGCTCTTTGATCACGACAGTACAGCAGCTCACACCGCACTGTCTGTGAGGGAGTTTTTAGCCGGCAAACGAATAACTGTATTGGAACACCCTTTCATACTCATCTGATCTGGCTCCCAATGACTTTTTTCTTTATCTGAAGATAAAGAGAATACTGAAAGGAAAACATTTTGATGACATTCAGGACATCAAAGGTGATATGATGCAGCTCTAATGGTGACTGCAGAGAAAGTTCCAAAATCGCTTTGAACTGCGGACTAGGCGCTGGTGGGGGGCATAGCTTCCCGGGTGAGGACTTAGAAGGTGACCGTGTGATATTCAACAATGTGGCATGTAGCACTTTCTCTAGGATGAGTTCGAGAACTTCATTTTCATACCTTGTAAATAATTCAGCTTCCCACAGTGACACAGGTAGAAGCCAGCAGAGCTGGGATCAGATCCCAGGTTCTTGGGGCTCTGCCCTCAGCCAGGGCAGCTGCCTTCCCTGAGACTTCCTTGGTGTCTCAGCAGGTCGTGACACAGAGGGGAGCACGAAGTAACGCTGCAACAATCAACAGCCTCTGCATTAAAAAAAAAGTTAACCTTAAAACTGACAGTCGTACCTGCTGACCATCTGCCACTTGTCTCAATGCCCCAGACATTTCTAGAATGAGGCAGCATTAGTGTGGTGGTGTCCCATGGAAAACAGCATTTCCTTCAAAGAGGTGGTGCTGGCAGGAGGTGGGACCTCTCCCTCGGGGACCATGTGCTTCCCCATGGCCAGGCCTGAGGCTGTCCTCAGCAGGGTGGCTTTGCAGTCGCCTTGGACCTCCACAGTTTTGAGAAAGGCAGCTGGGTGACGTCAGGGGCATTGTCTTTCTGCCACTTGTGTCAGATGTTTGCAGGGGCTTCCCAGATCTCACAGACCCTATCTGAGCCCCACTTCACAGGGCATCAGATCATTCCCTTGCCTGGCTGCCCTCGCCTCCCGTGGCACCCCCACACCCTACAGCTTGGCAGCTCCCTGGGCACCCAGCTATCTCCTCTCTGGCACCCTGTCTCTCCTCCTTTGCTCGGCTAGCTTCTCCTCTTTCTGGACTCAGGAGGCTTTCAGCACCCTGAGACACCTCTTCCTCCAGGAAGCCTTCCTTGACTGGAAGTCTGAGGGAAGTGCCATCTCTGTGTTCCCATGAACCCAGGGGATGCCTGTGAGACCACTGATCACAGAGCATTGGCGCTCACTGTCACCTCATCGCTCTCTCTCCACAGATAGCAAGTTGTGGGGTCAGGGGTTTCTCCTTATCTGCAGGCCCACCTCCCCACCCAGGGCGTGGCCGGGAGGAACTCAGAGCAGCCAGCTGAGTCGACGGGCGGGTGCATGACCTGGTACAGAAGTGAGCTGCTCTGTGCCCACAGAGCTCTACCAATCTGGACACCCCAGAGCCACAGCTGATGGGCCTTGCCGCAGAAGGGGAAGGGGCCCCTCTTCCTCACTTTCCTGTCCACCTGCCCTCCACTCCCATGGGCTGTCTCAGCTCCCCTGCAGCGTCCCTCGTGTGCTGCTGTGCCCTGTGCACGCCGGATCCTCTTGGAACCACTTCCCTTCCTTTCCTCTCTGGCTGAGTCAGTGCCTGGGACGGCCTGTTCTAATGATCAGCCACCCCGTCTTCTAGAGCAGGAATGAGCCCAAACTTCCCCTGCACCCAGCACCAAGCCACCCCACCCAGACAAGTGACAGCCCCTCCAGACACATTCTGTGAAATCAATTAACTAATCTATACCCTGTGGGATGGCAGGGTACAATAGGGTACTTTATATAGTAAGACTAATAACTAAGAAAAAAGTTTTTAAACATGATAATATCTGAAGAAACTTCTCATACTGCCCACTTTAGACTAAGCACTTGATCACTGCAAGTTACTCACTCACCATTTCCTGTAGGCTGGGGCTTCGCTGAACTCTCCACAGCATGTCTGAGAGTGGATATTACAGATGCTTGAGGTATAGAGTGACCTGCCAAGCTCAGGAAGATGGATGGAGGAGGAACAGAGTGGGAATCCAGGTCCTCCCCTCCCCCTTCTGTGCTAAGGTGCCTCCCGTCCCACAGGGTGTGAGATCAGTGAACTCATTTCACGTGGCTGCTGCCTTACCACCCTCATCCCTGTTCTCTCACAGGACCGTGCACCCTGGGTCCCTTATCTGAGTATCCTGTGCATTCTGGCCATCATTGCTTCCTTTTGTATCGGGCCAGGTAAGGTGGACTCCTTCCTCACTGCCCCCACTGGGGCTGCTGGCACCCTCAAGCTGGGGGACTCTTCTTGTACAAAGAGGGATCCCAGAGCCCAGAGAGAAGGAAAGCCTCACAGGGGCCCATGCTGCCCCTGGGCTAACTGCCGTCTTTCCACCCTGAGGATGGCAGAGGATGGGCTCACTCAGAGGTGGGTGGATGAGAAGCGGACAACACAGCAATGGCCATTCACACCTGGGAGGGTCGTGAGGGGTTGGGCTGGTTTGTGATGAATCAAAGCTAATCAAGCTCAGCCTGTGCCTGTGGGGCAGGTATGGGCTGGTGTGAAAGGGACATCATTGATTGCGTGGTGTCCTTGGCTAAGAACTTGACCTATGTGAGCTCAGGCTCAGGACGGTTCCAGAGAAGGCAGAGATGGGAAGTGATCTGCATGAGTGAGGAGGTGATGGAGCTGCCTGAGGTCGACCCAGGCCCCTGACTGCCTCCTTTCATGGCACTTGTGTGAATGTGGGGCCTCAGTTTACCCAGAACTCACTTCTAGCTCCACTTCTGTATTTTCTAGCTGTGGGTGGGTGGGAAAGACCCTTCTCCTCTTGGGCCTCAGTTTCCCCATCTGCAAAACGGCAAGGGTGGAATGAGACTGAGGGCACTGACCCTGTGCCTATGGCCAGCAAGGGCCACCATCAGAGGCCTAAGTGGCATCGAGGTGGTATGCTCGGGGCAGGGCCTGCTGTGTGCCCTTTCCGTGAGGGCACTCATGGCTCTTTGGTTTTAGTCCCTCTGCTGGTGAAAGTAACACTGAGTTTCCATCAGAACAAGTGGAACCAAACTTCTGTCTCTGTCCTTGCATTGCTGGTCCCATGGGCTGTCATACCCTAGCTTCTGCACATTTGTGGTGAATGACAAGCATCTGTCCCCATCCAGATAGCAAAGTGTTACAGTGGGAGAGCAGAGTGGGCTGTGAATGAGTAGCAAGGGCATCATGCACACACTTGCGCACAGAACATGTGTGAGGACACTCACAATGGCACAGGAAGAAGGTGCCTCACAGGCAGGGAAGTGAGTTCGCAGGAGGCTGGACAGCAGCTGGTGCTGCAGTGAGCAGGGGATGCCGGGAGTGGGTGTGAACAGTGCCCCGGGCACCTGCATCACCACTCACAGGGCAGCATTCACACCAGTGCCCCACGCTGTCCAGCTTTCCCCTATGCCAGCCTGGAACACAGTGGAGTAAACCCAGGCAGGGGCAATCTCTACTCTCATGGGGCTTGTCATGGGTGTGATGCCCCCTCTGGAATGGCCCTGCTCAGCAAGGCCTCACCTGACACTTAATCTAAAATCAACACACACACCCCCATTCACACACCCCCATTTACATCCAACCCATTTACACATATATACACACACACATACACACACGTACACACGTACACATACTCACACATGTATACACACATACACACGTACACATAAACACATACATACACACACATACACACGTACACATAAACACATACACACGTACACACACGTACATACACATAAACGCATACATACACACACATACACAAATACACATAAACACATACATACACACACATACATACACATAAATGCATACATATACACACATACACACACATATACACATACACATAAACGCATACATACACATACATACACACACACATACACACATACACACACCCTCTACCTTGTCACCTTTCATGGCACAGCCCTCAGGCTCTTCTATTTTCTGCTTGTTTGTTTAAGACAAATTTGGTAAGACTTTTTCTGTAAAGACCCAGTTATATATATTTTTCTTACATGCCACACATTCTCCGTCACAACTCCTCACCTCTGCCATGGCAGGGTGAACACAGCTGCAGACAATAAGCGTGGGACTTCAGGGGTCCGGGATGAAATGAGTGTGCTGCATCTCAGTGAACAGGCAGCCTCTGTGCCCACCTGTCCACACACACATGCTGCCTACACACGCTGCCTACACACAGGCCTGAGGTGCCCAGAGCTCTGCCTCCTTGTGTCCCGGGCGCCTGCCCTTCCTGAGATGGCATTGGTTCTGACCCCAGTGTTGGCCGGCTGGCACCCTGTGAGGGTGGAGTGTGCTGCCTTTCCAGGGCTTCAGTGCTGAGCTCCCAGCAGGGTCTGGGGGACGCCGTACAGGGAAGGCCACCTGCACCTCCCAACTCCAGGGTAGCTGTGAGCCCCCACCCTCTGCTTCCCAAACCCACCCCCACCCATGTTTGCCTGGCTGCTGGGCCTCACTGGCTGGCTGTGAACAACTCTAGCCACAAGAGTGCCCTAGGTTTAGAAGCATCACTTAAACCCACATTGATGGCACAGAGTAAAACCCCTGGAATATTACCTGTCTGAGGGAGGCTGCCATTTTGACTGTGAGGCCATCTCGCACCCTCCTAAGTGGGCAGGGTCTGGTAGCTCCCAAGAGGAGCCGCAGGGGTCAGGGCAGCAAGCAGACATGCCTGGCGAATGGCTGAGAGACCCATCTGGGCTGCTCCTCCTGATTAAATGAGAGGGATGGTTCTCCCAGAGAAGCCGGAGTTGGGCATGAGGCAGCTTCTGTGAGAAGTAGATCAATTTGAGAAGATTTGACAGGGAGTTGGAATCAGGGAGAGGGAAAGAGAGAAACTAGGAGGGCGTTTCCTGCTTCTGTTTCATTTGTGTTTGTGACCCCAAAGTTGTAGCAGAAAATTCTAATAAAAGAGGCATGATGAAGGAGCTTTACCTTTGAAGAAACAAAGATCATCACCAAGGAATGTCAAGTCCAGTTTGAGAAATCTCACCATGCCCCGACTCTGTGGCTGGCAGCAGGCTGAGCCCTCAGTGGGGAGTTTACACGCAGGTGAGGAGGACAGAGGCCAACAAGACGGGGCTGGTCACTGTGATTACCAAGGGGCAAATTAGGGTCTGCATGCTCCAGGGGTTTGTGTGGTCCTGACGGGGACACATCCCATGCTCACTCACCACATGCCTTGCTTGAAAAGGGGACACCTGAATTTGTCTCATTGGTTTAACCTGGAAAGACAGCCCAAGTGTACTGACATTCCAGGGGACCTCATGGTGTCCCCGCCTGCCCTGACACTCTGTGCACCCCAGCCCTGCTGAGCCACTGCCCCCCACTGCATGATGCCAGCCTTTACATGTGTCGTCCCCACCTGGCACACCACCCTTACCCAGCCACTTGATAAATGGCTTCTCATCCCCTCACCCAGTGTTGGCGCTGCCTGGCTCCAAAAACAAAGTCAGCTCATACTGAACTTGAGCCAGCATTCCTGCTCCCATGGCCCCAGACCTGCTGCTCAGGGGCCCGCCACCTGTGTTTCAGGGACCATGGCTGCTTCAGAGACCAGGACCTTGTTTCCCTCACTGCTATATCCCGGGTCCCAAACCCACAGCTTGACATTGATTCTCGGCTGTGTGGTGTGCCTTTCCCCCACACCACTCATACCAAATGAGTGACTTTTCTCTGACACCAAATACGTGTCATCTCTCCACACTGGTGCTCCAATCCTCCTCCACCAGCTGGTGCCCAACAGTTCAGTTTGATGCTGACACAATCTCCCAGAGTGGACACAGACTTGGCAGGTGCAGGGCTCAGTCCTACAGGGCTGCCCTGCCTCAGATGCTGCAAGTGAAATCCCTGGCAATTCTGCCCTGTTGGCAATAAATTCAGGGATTCCCAAGGCCCCACTCAGGGAGGAGGGGAACGGCCCACAGAATGGGGACATTGCATCTCCTTATAAGAAGCAAAAGCCACTCCTGTGACTCAGGAAGTTCCAACTGAAGCCAAAAATGAAATGTTCACATTTTTATTAATGCCACAGTGCCAACCCCAGGCAGGAGAGAAAGTGTGGAGAAGACAGGGTCTCTATCCTCAGGGAGGAAGAGTGGCAGGTCAGATGTCCAGTACACATGTCCTCACCTCCCCCTGGGCTGTCAGCAGGGGCCCCTTGGTACTTCTGGCCACAGAGGTTGTGAGGGCTGAGGGGAGAGAAGTATTGGTTGCTGGACAGGGCTGACCCTGAAGGGGGACACTCCAGGGACAGCACAGTGTACCCCAGCTAGGGTCTCAGCACCGTGGGAGCCTGGTGAGACCTGGAACAGGCAGAGGCTGTGCCCAGCAAAGCCGGGAGACAAGTGTGGGACAGAGAGATGGGAGAAGAGTCCAGTGAAACAAAGAATCAGAACCAGGCACTTGCTGGACATTAGCTGAGTGCCAGCCTCGTGCCGTACCTTAGACATCCAGGGGGAAGGAAACACAGGAACCCTGTCCCTGCCCTAGAAGAGTCCACAAGAAAGACAGACCTGGGAATGAATTATCATTGCTCAGTGGGTTTCCAGGAGTGCAGGAAAGAAGAGGGAACTAGTGTGTGTGGAATGCCTAATATTCATCAAACATCATTCATACGTTATCACTATTAACTTAATTAACTCACACAATTTATAACTTTACAAAAAGAGCTTTATTTCTTAAGAAGGAGATTGCAACTTGCAGGCAAGAAGTGTGTTTTTGAAAAAAAAGAACACTTGGAGGGGGAAGAGGGAGGAACAGGGATTGTCTGGGGCTGGGTTGGCAAACATGCATATTCAACAGGTTCCAGAAGAGTCTATGAATATTCATGACCCTTCCTAGTACATGCATCTTGGCTAATGTTAGGTACGACTCATACTTACTTAGCGGTGGAAACTAAACATTAAATGAATGACGGTTAAGCCCTATATGTCAAAAGGTAAAGCAGGGACACGAAGGCACCTCTGTAACCAGCCAGAACCAGCCCATGGTCAGTGGTCTCTTATCAGGATAAAGTTACTGAAAATCAACCTCTTGTCCAATCACAGCTGCAGTTATGGGTTGTGGAAGAGGAGGGTGGAGGTCAGTTGGTCAGCATCTGGCAGCAAACAGCACTCCTTTCAATATTGCTTATCCCAAGGCCAGTGCTTGTTTAGCTGATAGAGAAAAAGAAAAA